TGGCCCGCGCAGGGTAGGAGGCGAGGCGGCACGGCGGCGACCAAGGCGGAGCCGCCCAACAAGGGAGGAAGCGACAACGGCGACGAGCCCAGGGACGCGCGACGGCGCAGCAGCCGACGTCTGGACGGGTCCGACAGGGGCTCTGAGGACGACGATGACGACGGCGACGACGAGGGGGATGAGGAGGAGCAGGATGAAGATGACGAGGAGGAAGAGGAGGAGGAGGAGGAAGACGATGACGACGAGCGGGAGAGGCGACTGGGAGCCAGGTGGGTCTCCTCTCACAACTTTTGGTTTTTTTTTTTCCCCCTTTGTGCGACTGAACTGGAGCCAAAGTGAAAGGCACAAATGCAAAATGAGCGCACTCATTAGGAGGATGGACGACACGCATTTGCTGAACTAAAAGGTCAACCGAAGATGAAGTCTGCGCTCGTGACATTCGCCAGGCCACGCCCACCCAGATCATTCAAACATGTCCTTGCGTGCGTTTGCTTTGTAAAACCGCATTATTTCTTTATTTTCTCGTTCTTCACATGAATAATTTGCAATGCATTGCTCGTCCCCTCCCTCCTCATTTTTTTTGCCGGCGGCCGGAACGGCTGAATGGCATTTCGGTTCATCTGAATGAGGAAGATTGATTTGACGCGCAAGTCGATTGAGTTGCAAACTTGATTGGTCACGCAGCGACGTGACAAGATTTCCCAAAAATGCTGAGCCTGATCGGAATGGCCCCTCCGGCCTAAGACCGATGTAGGAAGAAATTTCATCTTCCAATATTGACCCATAATCTGACACGGGGCAAAAATCCAAACTCAAGTCAATTTTGGCGATGTTTCAAATAACCTCGATTGCACAATCTCAGGTTTTTTTGGAGGACTTTCAAGATGTTTGATCGTGTCTTTGGCTGCGGAAGTAGGACACTTACGAAGGCCTTGCTCCCCGAATTATTTTCATCTGTCAAGATTTCCGTGGTTGTTTTCATTCGTCACCACCAAACAGAAGCCACGAAAAAGTCCGATGTTCCGTACGTCCCCTTTTTCAACGAGGAAAAAAAAAATGTGTTCAGGAGCGAGGACGAGGGCGATGGCGATGCCCTGACCGGGACCAAGGTGAGAGTGAAGTACGGCCGAGGAAAGACGCAGAAGGTCTACGAGGCTCACATCAAGAAGACGGATATCGACAACGGAGAGCACTTCTACCTGGTGCACTATTACGGCTGGAACGTCAGGTGGGTCCGCACCAAGCAAC